GGGGAGACCCCTCCCTAATCAGAGCACTCTGCCAAGGCCACACCCCCTTCTGCTCAGCACTTCTGAAGGGAAGGGAGGGCTGCTCTAGTACCCCCTGGCTTCTAGCCTGAGCCACTGCAGGCATGTGCCTGTATTTCTGGGATGTCTATTCAGTTACAAACTGGCTTAGCCTAGCCAGGTTAGACTAACCTGCAAAGATTGAGTCAATTCAGGCTCAGGCTTTTTGAATGTCTGTCCCTAGCCTAAAGGAAGAGTGTAATGCAGCCATGATGCGTCCAGTTTATGCAAATTATACCCAAATACACAAAACAAGACTGTTATTTACTGAAATGCTGGTGATTATATAAACCAAAACAATGAAAAGAATGGGTTTATATATTTGTGGAATTTATATATAATCTAATATATATAATCTATATATAATCTGTGTGTCATATTTCCTCATTTTATGTTTATATGGCCACCGCTTCTATAAACATTAACAGGGAATTCATAATAATAGTAAACTGAAGACATTATCACTGGTCACAGATGAGGATTGATGCCACCTCTGTCACCAAGAAATGTCTGGAAGTTTAAAAACAGCAAAAAGAATCTAGCTCTTCCTAATGCATTTTATACTAGAATTTCCAATACAATGATACTGGATGCAAATCAGTTTATGGATCAGTTGCCAATCCTGTCATTTGTTGAATACAACTATTCTTTTCATACTCAAAACCTGTCAGTGCTGTTCTTCTAGGGAACATTTACCTATCTTACACATTTGTTTGTAAACTTGGAAAACAGGAGTCTCAAAAATTCATGCCTGAACCCAGTAAGCATGAGTTCTCAGCATGCTTCCTAGTAAACTTGAAGGAACGTACACACTACTTGGAACTAAAGTAAAAAACACAAATGTCTTCACTAAAGCCTTAATTCTGTCCGAGGTCCACTGAATTCTTTCCATTGACTTCAGTGTTTGGGGTCTGGCCTTTTGAGATCCACACTTCCTTCACGTAAAGCTCCCATTAACTTCAGAGCAAAGAGGCCTGAAAGTGACCTTATTTCTTTTTTGCAAAACCCATACCTACAGTGTATCTCTTAGGATAAAATCATCTAATATATTAGTATGACTGTTTTCTATGATAAAATCTGATGGCAGAAATGTCTAAGGGTTTTCCGATTTGTAGTTTCCAAAAGGACTAGACTGATGGTATCTACATAAAATATAATTCTACCCAAGAAGTTTTTATATAGAAGAACGTTTTTAAATAGCTATATTCTACAATAAGAATAATAATTTAGCCCATGTCCATTAAAATAGTTAATGTTTACTTTTTATTTACCACATATAGAGAAGGTGATATATTTCTGCGTTTTATTCCTCATCAAAACTGCAGGAAAAATTTGCAGTTTCTCTAGTAATTATGCAATCAGTATAAGTGATCTTAATGGATAATGTAAGCCCATTTATATTAGTATAAAGAATTTCATAATAACTGTGCCTAGACAGTTTTTTCATATACTTCAAATTTGTAATGGATGCCATTCTCCTCCTGGACATCAGCTGGGACACCTGGGAATCTGAGAAGGAAAAAAAAAACAAACCTAAAATGAACAAAACATCACTACAAATAATCTACAACCCATCTAATCAGGTGGAAAACTGGCAAAAGGAAGCCAAAATGCTATAACATGAAATTACTGATTACAGGTTAATTTTTACTAAGTGTATGCTAAACATGGACAGCAGTTAATGTAGGTCTCCATCAAGAAAAACTATGGCAGGAGGAGTCAAATCAATAAAAGACAACAAGTATATTAATCACACATTTGAAAAAACAATCCAATTTAAAAAAACGCAAAGTGCTATTAATATATTTATAACAGAGATGATATACTGATATGGATCATTTAAATTTATTCAGCGCCAGAAAGAGGTGCAATGTAAAGATGTCCTACAGGTTTTACTAGAAGAATGTTGCAGTCTTTCAAACAACTCTCCTTTTATCCAGTTATAGCAAAATTTCTTCAATATGAAATAATTAGTCATCTTAAATCTCTACAGTTCCGCACAAACTGATTAAAGGGTATCTATTTAAGTAAAGCTAATTTCCTAAAAAACTAGAACAAAAATGAACTAACCAATAACATTTAAAAACATGCAATTAGCTGGATAAAGGAACTGTTTCAGTGGAAGACGAACAAATCTCTTATATGAATATCAGGCAAGTGTCTAAGTTGATTAACTGCATATGATGCTGCTCCCAAGTTTTTGCTTACTACTTACATTACAACAAACAGTGGTTATCTGCATATTGGTTAAGTACATAAACTGCTTAAGTGCATAGGAACTTTCTAGCTCTACTGCCCACATGGTAAGGTAACTATACTCTATTTAACTGTATAATTATTGGTGGAACTGACCAGCAGTCATTAATTTCAAGAGTGCAGCCATAAACCTGCCACACTGCTGCACAATGAAGTGAAGTGAAAGGAGCCATTAAAGCAAGAATTGTAGTGCCGCAATTCTTCTTTCAGGTTCTGTGGTCAGTTGCTGAACTTAAAATGACCAAGCAGCATTTGCATATTGATTTTTTGAGCTCAGCAGTGGTCAAAAGTTTAGATTTCTTACTGCAGTTTGTTTTCTTGCACAAGGTCTAAGCGTATGTGTAAACACTGACGTTAACAGAGCATATAAAAAAAGCAATTCCCTCTCACTCCCCCCATTGTGGAGCCCACCATTTTTCATAGAAAATGCTTGAGTTTGTGTTTTCTGCAAACCCCCCCCCCCCCCCCCCCCCAAAAAACAAAGTGTCAGATCAGGACTGTAGATGAAGACATAGTAAAAATGCCTTCTGACTTAGTGTAACTAAATTTGCTGCTGTTAATGCTCCATTACAGTTAGCACAAGGTTTAGGTTTGGCAGATTTCAAGGCAATAAATGGATGACTTGCAAGGTGGAAAGAACATAAATACTATTAAACTCAAGAAGCAACATAGGAAAAGGCAAGATGCTAATGACTTTGTTGCGGATAGATAGATCACTGATGTTCACCCAGATCTCACTAAGGATTATAATTCTTCTAACATTTCTAATATTGATGAAACTGGTAATAGGAAATTAGTCCTACTTAGAACCTAGATCTACCATATTTACTCGAATCTAAGATAAGGTGCTTCCTCCAGTTAGCACAGGGAAAAAAGCCTCCTGTCTTAGATTCGCAGACAAAACAGAGCGGGGCAGGACTGCAGCGCTGACTGTGGACATGAACCTGGGCTGGGGCCAGAGTCAGACCCAGAGCAGCTGCTAGTTCCCCACCTCTCCTTGCCCTTGCAGCTTCTGCCTATCCCTCTGCCTCCTCCTGCCCTCACTGTCGGTTGCAGCTTGGCTCTGGCTCAGGCTGCATTCCCTCTCAGGCACAGAGTACAGAGAAATGCCATTCCCTGCCTGGCCAATCAGCCACCCTGCTGCTGCAAGTCCTGGCAAAGGCTCCATTTCTATGTGCTGTGCTCCAGGACCCAGGAGCGAATAGAGCCCAAGCAGCATCTAACAGTGGTGGTGGGGGAAGAAACTGTGGGGAGTGGGGACGGGATGGGGATGCAGGTGGCAGGGGCCAGGAAAGCTGCAGAGGGAAGAAGTGGGGAGGTGGGGCAGAGGGCAAGGGGTCACCCCCCCCCCCCCCCCCCCCCACACACATCTTCTCCCAGCCATTGCTTTCCCTGCTACAGCAGTGGGGCAGGGGGAGGGGTGAATTTAAGACAACTCTTTGATAAATAGATTTTATACATCTATAAATTAGATTTATACATCTTCCATATATAGAATCTAATTATTGGGGGGTGCCTTAAATTCAGGGTTGTCTTAAATTCGAGTAAATATGGTAGTCCCTCCTGCAACTGAAACTTCCAGTAATATGCAAATAAATCTTCACATCAAGACTGCCTGTAATATTTCTGTTATTTAGGTCAATATCTGAAGAACCTAGGCTATATTTAGACTTGGCTTATGCTGTTTTTGCTCGCTTTACCCAAGAATCTAGGGCTGGTAGATGGGAGAAAGCATAATGACAGAAGGTGCTATTAACGTTTTTTAGCTTTCCTAAAGGGCCTGTAAGAAGCCTGTATGGTTCCATACAATTAGCAGTGGAAATGAGTGGATGTGGAGGTGGATATGGATGAGCATGAAGCTGAGCCAGCACACCTTTGGGTTGGGTCAGCCAGGAAGGTACCTATCGAGTCCCAGACCTGTTTTTACGCTATGCTCTCTCAGCAAGGAAATGTGGTTGTCTAAACTACTGCCCATGCATCCTTAGTGTGTAGCAACACCTGTAGGCATGGGGTGGGGTATATAGTTTATATCTCCTGCCCTAAAGAGGGATTAAAAGAGCTCCTTAGTTTAAACAGAGTACTTTTGCCCTCTAGTTTAAATCTACAGCTCTGTAGGGTTAGGCAAACAGCTCCTTTGTTACAGAAGTGATTTTAATTGTGGTTACTACAGCTGTTATGCCACAGCACAATGTATTACAGATCATTAGAGTAATGCTGGCTAGCAGAATTTGGGGAACCAAAATTGTTTTCAGTTTTATTTGTACTTGTTCATAAACTGTGTATGCTCCCTATGCAATGGCTGGTGCTGATAGCCAGAACTTACAGCTCCATTTCAGAATTAAAGTGCTTAAAATCCTTGCTTTAAAATTAAGCACATACTTAAATGCTCTCCTGAATAAGGGTCATATTGCTAAAGAAAACATATTTACCACTTTGCTTTGTAGGCTTATCTGCTCAATTTTGGCATCTGTCTTAAGAAATTCATATTCAAATAAGGCTTGTTTTTCTGTCAAATGCAGTAAAAATATCCCTCTGGTGCTGCAAATGTTTTACACATGCTCTTGCATGCACTTATGCATTTAACTTTACTCATGTGAGCAATCTGACATTTTGGCTTTAGGACTGGATCTTAATTTGTTCTATTACATTGGACAAGGATGTCATTAGTATACTCATTATTTTGAATTAAACTATCTTCCTATGTTGATATGGCATATTATCTCTGGTATTTTTTTCACATCAAAACATTTTAATCTTCAAAACTTACAAGGTAATCAGAGCCTAAGTAGGATTTAAAACAATTCACAATTAATTATGAAGTCTTTAATTTTTTGAGCGATTTAGAAGTATTGTATTATCATGCATCTTGATACTTACTCTGGGAGAAGTCTATATTTCTCTAAATCAATCTCTGGAAAAAAAGTGTCACTTTCAAACTCATGCAAAATTCTTGTCACAAATAATCGCTGATTAATTGGCTTCTCCATTGCTGCCTTTAAAAACAAAGGATTTAAACTGATTATTTCCTGTCTTTTAAGATTACCGCTATGCAACATTAAGATTATTCTTGTTCATGAAGATTATTCATATAAAGTTTGACTGGCAAATATTTCAGTCAAATGTTTAAAAGAATGCCCAAATATCAAGCAATAGATCTTATTTGACATTCTACTTTTCGGTGTTCTTTCTTCACATTTTTATCAGTAGTACTTTGCACAGAATATCTACAGTGAAACTTCAGAAAAGAACAGAATTTTAGGGTGACAGTATTTATTATTCTCTGTACTTTTACTAGACCAAATTCAGATCCATCATCTACATGTGAAACAGTCATTATTCTAAGTATTGTAGGTAAAAGATTGGACAAGAAGCCAGGACCCCAGGATTCTTATTTCTGACTGCTCGATTTAGAGCATGACATTACACAAGTCACTTAATTTCTCTACCCCATTCCCACGTGTACAGGAATGCTTAGAGTTTTAATGGCACCTGATAGAAGGTCCTATAAAAGCGCAAACTGTCTGGAGATATCTAAGGCTGAAAATAATCCTTATGATCACCTAGTCTTATTTGGTAATTGTTGTGTGAAGCCCATAAATTCTGCTTCAATTTCAGCATCTCTTTTAGGAAGATATCCAGTCCCTGATTTTAAAAACTTAAGATGAAGGAAAATCCACCATCTCCCTAGGTTAGCAATTCTCAATCAGAATGCTGCAGCACCTTGTGGGTCTGTGTGATCTTTTTAAGGGTGCTGTGGGATGCCAGGCAATAAGTACAGCTGAGTGTGCAAACACCTGCACATGATTCACAATATAAACCCAGAGATTTCAAACAGGAATCTGTATTATCAAAAACATTTTCACCTCTTGTTGTCTTTCTCAGGTCTTTGCAACATAGGAATTGCTCAATTATTTTTCCATAGTCAAGAAACAGAGGAAGGCTAACAAGTGGCATTTTTCCCAATGGGTGCCTTAAGTCTAACCAGGCGTGCTTCGAATCTGCAAAGGTTGAGAACCACTGGCCTAGGTAAATTGCTTTAATGGTTGATTACTCACACTGTTAAACTTTTTAACTTTGCTTCTAGCCTGTACTAATTATTGCAATTCCAGAAATCAAATTGTCAAGACATTTATCATAAGACATAGAGCCACTCTGGTGTTGTTTGATTGCTTTGTGGAGTGAAAATGTGCACTGAATATTAAGTAATAAACATCAATTTAAAAAAAAATGTTTATTGGCTTTTGCAGGACCAAGGCTGCTAAGACCCACTGTATCAAATCCATTGCTAACAAACAAATTAGTTACACCAAAGGTGAATTTGGTCCAAGGCTTCTGTAGGGGGAGAGGGGAGGGAATCTTTCAGAATTTCCTGACATTGAAGTACATTGTGAAATGCTACATTGTTGCCTAGATACGGTATACATATCAAAATGTTTACAACTCTTTTCCTTTTCTCCTAATCTACTCAACGAACAATGCTTTTCTCTACAGGTGATTCACCTCACCCCCTACTAATAACTACTGTTTTGACAATTGCCCATGGTAACCTGTTAATGCAAATTTAATACAATGCACTTAACAGGTGGTGCTGCTGGGAAATCAGAGTTTCTAGAGAAACAGCTCCATCACTAGCAAATGCCTTAAAGTGAAAATGTTCAGTCACAAACACTGGCATCCATCAAAATGAACTGGAGTTCTAGCTTTTAAGCAAATATCGATAACTTGGAAAAAGAGAAGGATGAAACAACACTTAACTTCATACTTGTGCAAAAGCAAATCTGGTTCACTAACCCAATTTACCCAATTCCATAAACACAGCTGCTTAATTTCACAGATAAAGGGGTCAATCATGTTCCTGTTTAATTGAATGAAAATTTTGCCAATATTTGCAAGAGCAGTAAAAGCTGAAGATAAATCAGTGCTGCCACTACCCACACCTTCCCCAAGGAACTTTCTACTTTTTTAATGGAAAACAATCACAATTGTGTAGCCTATGGGCCCCTTTGTACACAACAAAATTGGCCTTTAAAGCGGCTTAATTGCCCTTTTGCACCACTTTATGGTGTTGCTATTTACATGCTTGGTGGCATATTTTGCTTTAAATGACTTTGTTACATAGCAAGGTAAAGCCCATCCGAGGTGTTTCAGTTTTCTACAAAAAGCGCAACAGTGCAAAGGGTACTGGAAGCCGATGCGATCGGGGAGGCTTGGGCTTGGTGGGCCTCCAGCACCCTGTGCACCATCCCTGCTGCCAGCA